GCAAGTAGGCTTAGTAGGTTGTTATCACCGAATTAATCCTAATCCTAACCGCAACATCTCTGTGAATTCTTATTGATTGTTCTTTCATAAGATCAAACAGATATTCAATGTTTGTTTTTAAATCCTGATTTGTCTAACAGACCAAGTGAATTATTTTTTTTTTATTGCACAAAACTATGACGAAAAGCTGACTAAATGAGGAAATAAAAAAATTTGATTGGCTCTAAGGAGAGTGGAAACAGATGACACTGAGTTTACTGAACAAAACCTGCTCCCAACACGTTAGCTTTGGGGAGAATGAACTACGGTAACGGAAACCGAGGTTGAGAAAACTCTCTTTGTGAAACCGAAAAGTCAGAGTTTACCATATTTCAGGGTTTGAAACCTTAATTTTTGTAAATATGCTTCGTGAAACGGAACTCAGTAATTATGTGTAATAATGGGGAATAACACAGGGAAAAAGTATTGACCACACTTACTGAAATCGATTTAATACTTTGTAAAAAAAAGCCTTTGCTGGCAATGAAGCTTCAAGACGCCTCCTGTATGGATAAATTAGTCGCATGCATTACTCAGGTGTGATTTTGGCCCATTCTTCCACAGAAAAAGTCTTCAAATCTTGAAGGTTTCGGGGGCTCTCTCTCCATAGATTTTCAATTTTATTCAAGTCAGGTGATTGGCTGAGTCATTCTAGCAGCTTTATTTTCTTTCTCTGAAACCAATTGAGAGTGTCCTTGGCTGTGTGTTTCAGGTCGTTGTCTTGCCGAAATGTCCACCCATGTTTTATTTTCATCATCCTGGTAGATGGCAGACATCAAGAACGGGATCATGCAGCTCTGGAAAGAGGGGTTAAACCATAGCATGATGCTTCCACCACCTTATTTGACTGTTGGAATTGTATTGGGCCTCTGATGAGTAGTGCCTGGTTTTTATCCACCGCTTAATAGTTAACACCAAAAAGTTAAATCTCGGTCTCATCAGACCAGAGAATCTTCTTCTCATAGTCTGGCAGTTCTTCATGTGTTTTTTTTTTGTTGTTGTTGTTGTTGCGGCACTAGTGGCTCATTTTTTTTGACAGTAGGCTGACAGTAAAGAGGGTATGAGATAGGGGGAGAGACGTGGCAAAGGACCACAGGCCAGATTTGAACCCCGGTTGGCTGCGTCAAGGACTAAGGTTTCCGTACATTGGTTGTGCGCCCTAATCGCTGTGCCACCTGCATGCCCCTTTCATGTGTTTTTTACCAAACTCCATGCAGGCTTTCATATGTCTTGCACTATATATATAATCTGTCTGTAATGGTTTAACCCCTCTTTCCAGAGCTGTATGATCCCGTCCTTGATGTCAGCAGATCAAAGTCTCCTGCAGAGTCAGTTGTGTCCTGTTCAGCCACAGGTCGACCTGCTCCCACTGTAACACTGACTGTTCTACAGCAGAACCTCAGCTTCTCCCACTACAACAGCAGCAGTGTGACTCACAGCAACGGTACAGTCACCGTCACCACCACAGCTCTGCTGTCAGCTTCCAGCAGCACACAGGTTGGATGTTCAGTGTCAGTGCTCTCTGCTGCTCCCAGAGAGAAGCTGATCACCGTTCCTGGAGTTAAAGGAACATCTGATGATGGTGAGGAACTTTTTCAAAGTTAGAAGAATTACTATGTACTCATTAACAGTTTATCAGAAATGTTGTGATTTATAACAAAAATAGCTCATAGCTTTAAAATTAAAGAAAATTAGAAATTACTTTAAAAGTATTTTGAAACAACACATAAAAAGTGTGCCATGCTTTAGTATTCCTCACTAAACAAATTTGGATTTGATGGAAGAAAAGTCATAAACTTTTGCTGAAAGAAAGTCCTAAGATGCTGAATTACAAGGTTTCATTCAAACCACTCAGAGACGAGGCAAATGTGGGGGGAAGGTTCTGGTAAGATGAGACCAAGGAGAAAATATTTTTTTATACATGCAAAATGCTGTGTGAGGAGGAAAGCAAATTCTGCTGTAACATGGTGGTAAGACATGGTGGTGGCATCATCATGCTGTGAGAATTATTCTTAACATGAAGGACTCAAAGCTGGTCAGAGTTGATGGGATACTAGAGATCTGTGACATAATAAAATTAAGTTTGTGGTTTAATTCAAATGTGGAAAAATATGTAAGGCAGAAATTGATGTTTACTGTGTGGGTCTATTTTGTTTTGTTAGTTTTTTTTTAGCAAGTATGTTTAAACACTCCGAATACAGAGTTATTGATAAGTTAATGTTCAGTCTTTGCAGCATTATTTTTCCTTAGGTTATTTCTCTAACACCTTTTGCTTTTTCTCCAAAGGTTGGAGTCTGGAAATTGTAGCGCTGTTCTTTGGAGCTTTAGTGGCTTTAATCATCATTTTCTTGTATAGAAGAATTAATCAGAGCAGGTACTACTATGAGACAATGCACTTGTTTTATCAGTTATTAGTTTATTTTGCCCCCAATCTTAAAATCCTGCATTTGTCTAACAGGAAGCCTTCAACAAAGAACCCTCCTGAAATCAAAATGACAGAGTAAGTCTCTTATTTTGCTATTTAATGATGCAGATAATATTTTCTTTACATATCCGTATATTTCACTAGCTTCTTTTATTCCTAATAATCTTGCATTCAATCCACCTTTCTCTGTTGAAGGAATCCTTCAAAACTGAAATCACCTCAAATCATAATTACTGAGTAAGTCTTTTATTTGGTTATGTATTAATGATACAGATTATACTTTCTTTACATATCCGTATATTTAACTTGCTTCTATTCCTAATAATCTTGCATTCACTCCACCTAATAATGATAATAATAAGGACTTTAAGATATTAAATATAAAACATGTTTTCTTTTCTTTTTTGATTTCAGGCCAAATGAACCATCTGGTCAACAAGAGAACAATCAGAACAGGAAAAATGCTCTGGTCAGACGACCCAGCAGCTCACCAACACGCTCACCTGGTGGAGAAAGTCGTTTACCTGTAGCTGAAAAAGATGGTCAATTCCTGACACCAAAAAAAAATACATAACAGAAGACAGGAACATCTGTGCAGAGTATGGGCTGAAAACCCCAAGGTCAAAGTGGGAAACACCTCCAAAGACGGTAGAGAATGACTGAGCCAAGACCATGTGGGACTTCCAGACCGAATGGTAATGACAAACCAACCGGACATTGTGGTTGTGAACAAAAAGCAGAGGAAAGCTGTTGTGGTTGACATATCAATACCAAGTGACTGCAACCTCAGGAAAGAAGGACATGAGAAAATAGAGAAATACCAGGGGCTATTTCTACAACAAAGATTGAATATATTTTTTTTTATTAATTTTTATCATTGGGCTGTTTTCTGCTAACCCTCCGTTGCAAATGAAGAATATAACTTTTCTGTTGAAGAGGAATGTCAGGCATCAATTTACTGTTTGCTTTAATGTGCTTCTGATCACCTTAAAGGAGAAGTCCTGTCATATTCAGAATTCAAACTTCTGATAGTTCTTTAAATATGAAATTATTACATACTGTTCGATGAATGAGAAGTGTTTTAAATGAAAGAGTAATTTTCATTCGGATGTGCTTTACTGGAGACGTCAATGTTTGGTAAAGAACACTACTGCCATCTACCGGTTTGTGATGTCACGTTGCGGTATCGGCTGTTGATCAAGTCCCAATGCTCTATCTGATGTTTGTCACAACGTGCTATTATCCAAGTCATCCTGGAAAAATTCTTCTTCCAAATGTTGGCTACATATTACGTGTTTTTTCTCTGGCCATAAGTTTGATGGCAAATCCTTCCTCTTTAATTTGGCAATTCAAAGATGAAACCTTGGTGGATCATGAATTGGAAAGGTGAAATAATTTTTTTTTTCACTTTTACCAAATGTATTACAAAATCCAACCACCATGCATGTGGGCAGTGTCAGTTTAACTACAGCTCTCATGAATTTCAATGGTGAAGTCATCTGGAAATCTTCAATAATTGTTTTTTGATTTTGATGATTGATTTTGCTTGTAAAGCGTGGAGAATAGCACTAGGCTTACTGCACCATGACGTCATTCCCGGAAGATGGCAGGAGTGAGGTGTTACTATATTTGGGCAAAAATGGCTGTTCCCAAATTATTTTTTTCATTTTTTTTATTTCATTTTTTCATTCTCTCCAGAATGATCAAGGATAAGTCATGGTGGTTGACTTTTCAGAAGACCTTTTGCGACACATTTCTCTTGAGTTTCAGAACTTACAGAGCCAGACTGGAGGAGAACTTCTCCTGAAGGTCCCTTGGTGTGAGCCGCATGGAACAACCATTTGCTGTGAGCCTGCTGTGCTAAGCTGCTGCTGGATGAAACTCAACCTTCCAAATGGATGTGGACAGAGGTTTGCAGGTCTGGCACCGTTAGGGACAGAACAAACATGTCTTTTGATGACTTTGATCATATCATGTGTTTGCTGATGAGTAAAGACAAAGCTAACAGGATGGACTGCATGGTATGCTATGCTCCAGTAATATGTTTTGAGCTGTTGTTGAAGCTTGGACAAGCTTTATTTCACTAAGGGTTTAAACACTGATATAACAGTAGTGTTCATGTGTTCCTCATATGCTCATTACATTTCGATTACCAAGTATGACCAAGAGTCATTTAGTGAAATCCTAATGTCTATTCACTGCTAGGTATTTCAAAGAGGGTAAAGAATCATTAAATAAAGGTTACTGGTTTCTGATTATGCAAATCATTTAATAAAACATTATTTTGCCAAATAATGTTTTATTTACCTCATGGACTTGCATTGTGAATTGTTCTGAAAACATTCCAATTGCTCGAAATTTGTGAAAAGCTAATTTGATCAAATCTCAAAATCTTCCAGATCCATCTTAAACTGTTATATATTCATGTTTCCCTTCCTCTATGTACTTAGTGGTTTAGTTTAGTTGAGTTTCACTAGCTTTAGTCAAGAGTTATTAACTGAAATATGTTTGACTTGGAGTTGAATGATTTTTGTTAATAAACTTTTTGAACAGAAGTTGTGAAATTATTCCACGTATGTGCAGAATTATGTTTGACCATGATTTGAGCTCAAATCACTCTTTCATTTGTAGTTCTAAGACACAGCTAGTAGGGCGTGTTTTCATAAACAATGTATGACAGTCTGAATAGTATCTAATTAAAAAAGATGTTTGCCACCCCTACCGGGGAGGGCAATAATCATTTTATAGTATCAGAACATAATTTGAATTCCCAGCTGGCTAGGAATTGAATATAACAGTTGTTCACCACAGCTGCTATTATAAAGGACAATTTTAATTGCATCAAGCCTTAAACTTAGAACTTCCCCTAGGCTTTGAACTGACTCTTAAACCACTCTTCCCCTTTTATTTCTTTACTATAACTTTTTTCAACAGTGTTTAGTGTCTGCTTAGTTATTAGGTATAATACTGTGTGATTGTA